AGCAAGAGGAGGTACAGTGTCCAGTAATGGAGACTGACCAGTCAAAGGATGTTGAAGATCGCCTACCTGACTGTGAGGATGGCCCTGCCTCTACCTCCCTGCAACCCATAAAGAGACCAAGGAGATCATGTGCATTGGCTGACTTGCTTGGAACGGTATTTGCCACTTCTGAAAACAACATTCCACCAAAATCTGCACATGAAACTACTGCAGCTTAGATTAAGAGGTTTAGAGAAGAAAAACCTTTGACTCTCCAAGAAAACCCACGCAGTTGGTGGAAAGAATATGAACATGTGTACCCTGAGCTATCCAAACTAGCAAAGGGTGTCCTGTGCATTCCAGGCACAAGTGTTTCTGCGGAAAGAGTTTTCTCAACCGCAGGAGACTTTGTAACTGCACATAGAAGTACTCTTAAATCTGAGCATGCTGACCAGCTGATCTTCCTCCAGAAAACCTTGTCATTAAAAAAATAAAGAAAAACAAATACAAACTGAATAACCTGTGTAATACAAGTTAAAACCGTTCTGAGAATGTTGCATCTGTATTTATTTTGTTTACATTCGTTTTGTTTTCTTAAGGAATACTGCAAGAACTTTATTTTTCATTGATATTAAGCAGATGTAATTATTTTGTTCAGATCAAATTGTTCTGACATTGTACGTTACAATTGTAAAAAAAACAAAAACTGTGAACCTTTAAAGCAGGATCTAAAAATATATATACACATGTATGGTCTGTTTATTACAGCTTATACATTTAATTTAACTAAGAATCCTGCAAGCACTTTATTTTGTACTGCACAAAAAGTGGTTCAGTAATGTTGAATGCAAATGCAGATCCCACTGTGTTCTGGTTAAATTAAAAAAGATTCTACAGTTTTCATATGGTGGTGTGTTCTTAATGACAGCTTTCCTAATGTAACAAATATCCCAATATATCACCTTACTTATAGTATTTTTAATTTAATCATTTTTAAATGTATCGCAACCCCTGTATCGTGATACGATACAAGGGTTGATGCGTATCGTATCGCCAGATTCTTGCCGATACACAGCCCTAATAATGACATGACAATTATGTGAGGGATACTGTCGTGTCATGTTCAAATATTACTTCTCGTACAGTGTGACACTTACTTCTTCTGGAGGTGAAGGTGGATCATTAACAGTTGGTACCAATCCATCATTCAGTAACAACCTTTTAGCAAAGCCTGTCTTGTATTGCCCCTCGCTCACAAAGCAGTCAGTGGTGAAATTATTTGCGCAGACAAACGCATTTTGGAACATTTTGAGGCGCATTACCTTCAAAAATAAAAGTAATCCACTGCGTCCTCAGTGGCTCAGATGTTGGGAGCACATGAAGACTTTTATGCTCAGTCTTATACCCAAACACAGAACACCGGGATTGTTTAGGAGACATTGTTGCCGTTACAGCTGCTCGAGCGCAGAGAAAATAGAGGACAGCGTACAACCAAACACAACTCGCTGAGGGCAGAAACTATGGTAATACAGGACTGTCAGTCAGTGGCCGTGGGCGGGGCCTAAACATTGTGACGTCACAATGCTAAGAGAATCAAAACGGCATGTCTAATGAGACTGGTTTAGTTTAATGGGGATTAAAAAATAAGGAGTGGGTGGATTTTTATCATTGTAGGGTGGTTGTGTTCACACACTGCCAACACACATTTATGTCCAAACACCATATAAGAGTGGAATTTGCATAATAGGTGCCCTTTAACGCTGGTTCTGATGGAAATGTGTCAGAATACACAGTGCATCGCAGTTTGTTGCGTATGGGGTTGCATAGCCACAGACCAGTCAGGGTGCCCATGCTGACCTCTGTCCACCACCAAAATCGCTAACAGTGGGCATGGGAGCATCAGAACTGGAGCAATGGAAGAAGGTGGCCTGGTCTGATGAGTCACGTTTTCTTTTACATCACGTAGATGGCCGGTGCGTGTGCATCGCTTACCTGGGGAACACATGACACCTGGATGAACTATGGGAAAAAGGCAAGCTGGCGGAGGCAGTGTGATGCTTTGGGCAAAGTTCTGCTGAGAAGCCTTGGGTCCTGCCATCCATGTGGATGTTATTTTGACACGTACCACCTACCTAAGCATTGTTGCAGACCATGTACACCCTTTCATGGAAACGGTATTCCCTGGTGGCCGTGGCCTCTTTCAGCAGGATAATGCGCCGCCACAAGGAAAAATGGTTCAAGAATGGTTTGAGAAGCACAACAATGAGTTTGAAGTGTTGACTTGTCCTCCAAATTCCCCAGATCTCAATCCAGTTAAGCATCTATGAGATGTGCTGACAACAAACAAGTCCGATCCATGGATGTCCCACCTTGCAGCATACAGGACTTAAAAGGATCTGCTGCTAACATCTTGGTGCCAGATACCACAGCACAACTTCAGGGGTCTAGTGGAGTCCATGCCCGGGCTGTTTTGGCAGCAAAAGGGGGACCAACACAATATTAGCAAGGTGGTCATAATGTTGTCCCTTATACACTGTGGGTGTAACCCATGTGGGGCCTACAGAAAGGCATTTTCAATAATGCATCATTCAACAGCAAGTAACAGCGCCCACTCACAGCATCATATACAAGCTGGTCTCAGTCTCTCTGTGAAAATCAACCTGTTACTAAAGTTCAAACGAGAATGATTTTGTTCCTCACATTTATGTTGTGGGTCTTTATGTGAAGTAAATCACACGTGTGCTGCTATATGAATTCAAGAGAAGAAACGCATGTCCTAGATCAGCTTAATGTGAGCACTTCTGAGGATAGACTTATTTATGGATTGATTCAATTAATATTTATTGGTAATTAATTCAGATACTGTATGTTAAGATATCAATGTTACAGAAAATAATGTTGTTAATGTCAGCTAATAATAATAATGTCGGCTTTGAGAATGAAAACCAACCTGTTTGTTCCTCAGGATCTTCATGTTTGACTCTGAATGCTTCTTCAATCTTTATGTCTTCACTGTCCACTTCAATTAACCCAATCTCTGTTTGTTCCTCAGTATCTTCATGTTTGACTCTGAATGTTTCTTCAATCTTCACGTCTTCTCTCTCATCTTTAATAAACTCCATCTTTATAATAGTGTGTCAACGTGTCTCAGTTGCTTCAGCAGGAGTTTCTCTCTGTGTTTGGACACTCTGTCCTGTTTAAGATGAGAATAATTAACAGAAAGACAAATTAATACAAACTAAATCTCTGGGTGTGTCTCAATCAGCTCCCTGTAGTTCAGTAGTCAGCGTACTAGTAAGGGAGTCAGTCAGAGTGAGAGTTAATGGACTTACATCACCTGAGAAGACAAAGACAACCAAAACTAGCACTCAAATGAATAAAACAGTTTTAACAGATCACATTTAACAGATTACACTAAATTCATTGAAAACATTTGCAGTCGGTTTGTAAGTTATTACACTGGTTTGTGTTTGTTGTTCTCGCTGCATTTACACCGTTTTCAAGCAGCAGGTAGCATTTATACCAGACATAAATTAGATTAGTCAAGTGAAATACATTAGATTAATTCAAGTGAGCTTTGTCCATCATACGTGGGGACATACAGAGGAAAAATGTTGTACTACACATGACCATGGTGCTACACATGTTAAACATATATGAACAAACATGGGCATATACAGGTAAGACATGAAAATGTATCTAAACATATAACCTATATAGATCTACGTATCTAGCATGTAACCTATAAACACTAAAAAGAAAATACAACCTTATAAACCTACTCATAGCTAGCCTAAATGCTTAACATAAAACTTAGACATATGGATTTATACAGGACAGTGCAGAGCTACAGAATACAGTACAATAGAGACATTCACAGCAAAAAAAGCAAATCATTAAATAATGAAAATGTAAATAGTAATAATGCATTAAAAATATTGCGCAAATTCATAAAGCAGAGTTCATACATGTGCCAGACCATATATACAAGAATCAGTGTTTTTCTTCTGATATTAATAATACTGACATTTAAAGTTAATTTTAGTCTAAAAACTTGGAATAAAATGTATAACAATCTCTTTCAAGAATCAGTAGATGATAAAATTATATTATAATTTATATATTATATAATAAATATAATAATGTCTAATAATGAACTATTTCACAGATTTTTTTAATGAAATCAATAGTAAGTCTTCGATGTCAAGGGTCATTTGTTGTGATTCAAAACGCTCACGAATGAGTGAACAGACATAATTTACACCTGCTGAACTCTGTAGAAAGTTCTGCAGTTTTCCAAAAATAAACATCGCATTTCAATTTATCTTAATTATTTTACAGGACATCTGGAGCTATAGACTTGAGGAGGATGTGACAGGTTAAGATGAGGAGAGATGAAGAAGAACAAGTAGGAGATAAAGAAGAAAAGAAGGAAGATGAAGAAGAGCTTCATACGATCCGATCCATTAAAGCCTGACAGCATCTCTGTCTTCTGTCAGTAGAGCAGCAGTTACAAACACCTGCAATAGTATCAAACAATCAGATTCTGTGTCCCACCAACATCAAATCAATATGCGGCTGGTCATTTATGGTTGTGAAATGTTCAAGTGTTATGTGTGGCTTTATGTTTGTATGTGTAGCGAATCAGCTCATGACAGGAAATATGAATAATTAACCATAACTAGTTATAGTTAACTATTCATATTTTAGATCCGCTGTAGATATTTAGCTGACCTCTCAGGGTCAACTGTCTTGTCAATTCTAATTTGTTTTTGTAATCACTTGCCAGTGACTGAATTATTGTTTATGATAAACTGATTCACGATACGAGCCGCACGTTTTCTGTTACTCATGCGCGGATGCACTTTACTTACACACACAGTCACAAAAAAACGTTCATAAATGCTAAAGCATGACAATGTTACATTCAACAATTATTAATTAGTTTATTACATATAAAAATCCCCTGAACGTCTTTATCGATTTAAACATATTTATTAACCTTCTTTAAAAACACTAACCTTTCTTCAGCCGACCACAGTTGCAGGAGCGCGGCGCGGTCTTACGACGTCACACCACCAGACCAAAATAAAAGTTTCTGTCCAAAATCACGAAATATGTATATGGCAGAGGAATTCAGAGGCGAATTCTTGGCAAAAATGCAGGTACATCTTTAAATACACGTTGTCCAATGATATGTCTGGATGTGTTTGGATGCATAAGCTTTATTTCACCCTCTAACTCTTAACACTTTCTATTCTATTTTAATTCTACTTTATCTATATTTGTCTTTTTTATTCTTTATTTTTTAAAAACTACAAAAATCAAAAACTAGCTTTCTATTTTTGTATTATATGTATTCCGTTAGATCATGCCTCCATGCCAGAATTATCAGATCCAGCCTCGGATGCCAGATCCTGTCAGAAAATATCAGTTTTGTCTGGTAACAGGTCATCAGAGTTGTTGAATACCCATAACCCATTAACAGCAAGTCTTGTCTGGTACCCAAAACCAGTGTTTTGTCTGGTATCCAAAACTTATTGTAGCTTCTATTAGCCAAGAAGTTGACTGAGCAAAGCCAGAGACGAGCAGAGGCAGGAGACGAAGTAATGATGATAAAAAAGGAGCAGAGTTTACTGAATAATCTTACAGGTGCATCTCAATAAATTAGAATGTCGTGGAAAAGTTCATTTAATTCAGTAATTCAACTCAAATTGTGAAACTCGTGTATTAAATAAATTCAATGCACACAGACTGAAGTAGTTTAAGTCTTTGGTTATTTTAATTGTGATGATTTTGGCTCACATTTAACAAAAACCCACCAATTCACTATCTCAACAAATTAGAATATGGTGACATGCCAATCAGCTAATCAATTGGTCTTATGAAGTATTCTTATTTGTAGAGAGTGAATTGGTGGGTTTTTGTTAAATGTGAGCCAAAATCATCACAATTAAAAGAACCAAAGACTTAAACTACTTCAGTCTGTGTGCATTGAATTTATTTAATACACAAGTTTCACAATTTGAGTTGAATTACTGAAATAAATGAACTTTTCCACGACATTCTAATTTATTGAGATGCACCTGTAGTTGTGTATGTTTCAATGCTCAAACTTTGTCTGACAAACACAAATCCAACAAGAGTTATTATACCACAATCGGTAGCAATGGAAAATTACTGGTTCACAACATCATTCCATAAACTTTGAATTCCCATAAACGTTCCCTGTTATCCCTTATTCATGAAGACAATCATCCCTTGAAACACACATCATAAGACTAAACAACAATGGAAAATATTAAAAAACAATAGTAATATAAGTAATCAATGAACAAATCAATGGCATGAGTATAAATGGTTAAAATGATCATTATATATGATCAAATGGAATAATAAAATGATTATTTGATAAATAATTATAAATGAATGAGTGAATTAATATAAAAGAAAGTAAAGAACAACACAAATGTATGGTTGCTCTCTTGAAGCAACACACACAGAGTTTGCATTTGAAGATCCTCAGATCCTCCACTGATGATCACTTACTTCCCTAACTGCTGCCTCATTCAGTCATTCCCAGACTTCCTTATTTTTCACCTTTCCCTTGAATCGAGAGTCCATTATAGTGGCCTCCTCAAAACAACACCATCATATATACAGTATCATCATCCTGCACTCTCTCTCTTTCACACACACACACACACAGATCTTACTGTCTTTATGAGTATTTATTACACACATTTTATTCATTTATTTTTTTATTTCAGTACAGAAGTTCAGCTGCAGCATTAATGTAACAACCCTCTACGGACAACTTGGCAACTGAATTGCCATTGGCTAGTAAATTTTTTTGTTTACTCGCCAGACTGAAATACTATACATATATATATATATATATATATATATATATATATA